TGATGAAATATATGAGTTTATGGCTTCAAAAGGACATAGAGTATTGGCTTTCGCACAATTATTGTTGCCAAGTGATCAATATCCTGAAAACTTTGAATTTGAAAAAGAAGAAAAAAATTATCCGTTGGGTGATTATTGTTTTGTTGGATTATGTTCATTAGAAGATCCTCCAAAGCATGGTGTTCGTGAAGCTATTGGAACTTGTCGTAAGGCTGGTATTCGAGTAATTATGGTTACTGGCGATCATCCTTTGACCGCTGAATCTATTGGTCGCAAAATTAATTTAATCATATCAGATACCAAATCACTCGTCGCTAAAAAATCTGGTAGACCTATTGAATCGATTCGTGATAATGAGTATAACGCTATTGTCATTCATGGTGAAGAAATAGATTCATTGAGCGATAATGATTGGGATAATATTTTTCAAAAGGAAGAAATTATTTTTGCACGTACATCTCCTCGACATAAACTTGAAATCGTCAAACGTGCGCAATCGATGGGTCATATCGTCGGTGTAACTGGAGATGGTGTAAACGATTCACCTGCTTTAAAGAAAGCAGATTTAGGAATTTCTATGAATCTATCCGGGTCTGATGTTTCTAAGGAGGCAGCAGCTATGATCTTAATTGATGATAACTTTGCATCTACAATAAAGGGTATTGAAGAAGGTCGCCTCATTTTTACGAATCTTAAAAAGTCCATTCAATACACGCTCACTCATATAACTCCTGAAGTCATGGTTTCATTGTTATATATTGTCGTACCTATCCCATTACCGTTGTCGCCAATCCTCATCTTGATAACTGATTTAGGATATGAATTATTTATAGTTCTGACATATGCATGGGATCAACCAGAGAGCAAAAAAGATCTTATGAAAGTACGTCCAAGAAAGCCCGTTACTCCAAAGTCAATAGAACGTGTACGTCGCATTGCTCTTGATCGTACGCCAACCATCACCGATCCGGAAACGGGTCGACCTATAACACCTTCAAGATTCTCATTGTTTTTGCATTCACTAAAGAAGCCTTTTACGGCAAGATGGTGGTCGGAATTACTTGAAAACAATGATGAGGAAGTATTAGTTGACGGAAAACTTCTCTGCTGGGCATATTTAGAAGTTGGCATGATAGAAACTATCGGCGCAATAGTTGCATATTTCGCGGTATTGAATCATAATGGTATTACTCCATATGATGCACGACAGATGCAAAATTCAGTAACTGAAAAAGGTTATTTCACTCAAGATGCAGAATCTTACATAAACGTTCATGGTGATGAGATAACTAAGGAGATACAACTGAGAGCAGCTGCTGAAGCACAATCTATTGTATATTTATCAATTATGATTCAACAAATGTTCAATCTATTCGCCTGCAAATCGCGACATCGGTTTCCATTTGGCAGATTTATGTTCTCAAACCATCGTAATTTTATTGGAGTAGTTCTTGGTGCGGCATTTGCCATGTGTATTGTATATATTCCGCCGTTTAATGTTGCATTTGTAACAAAATATACACTTAATCCAATATTCTGGTTAATACCTATTGGATCTGGTGTGTTGATCTTGGTTTATGCTTGTATTAGGGTACTCGTATTGCTGAAATGGCATCCCAAACGACTAAATGCAGAAGTATTAGGATTAGATTTGCATCCTACTGTATATTCTCTTGAAAAATCCTAATAATTGGTTATCATATTGTTAAACTTTGTGCGACGATTTCCTTTTATTATCAATATTTTTTACCTTGTATGATTTAAGTAGGAAACAATGAAATAATAAATGTTTATTAAAATTTTGTAAGCGTCCGGACGATGATAAGTAAGTCTATATAATGTTATTTTAATTTGTTAGTGAAAATAATATATGCAGTTGTATCAAGTTATAAAATTTCCTCATCACTCGCTTACATTGTAATCCAATAATTTCCGAAAGAAATCTTTATTTTTAAACGCCTGAAAATACTCACTCATAGTGTCCGATAGATTAAATGTTTTCTGCATGATCTCATGTACACGTGATAATTCGAATATTTGTGCAGATTTTTTTTTTTATAAGAATAATCTTATTAAAAATGAATATAAATTAATTTATGAGCAACATATTTGACGTTAATATTTTAGTTCTTAAATAAATAAAAAAATTTTTTGCTTAAAAAATTTAAACATATCAATCTAAAGATTATCTAATTTTGAAACTCAATAATATTGGACGAGAATTGTTGTTCTCTATATCAGCTTCAATTGAAAAAATATCTATAATTTAGGGCATGCAAATTTGATTTTTCGGTTCACGTAACTTTGAAATTTAAAAATCGACCCGGAAACCCGGAGTATATTAATGATTATTTTTTATAAAAAAAGTTTATATATAAATATTATGCTATCTGATTGGTGACCTTTACATAATAGGGGTATTAAAAAATTGGTTGATGCAAAATTTGTGTTAACCAATTATTATTTTTTTTTTAGTACGCGAAATTGAATAAAATCGATGTATATTTTGGTATTTTTATAAAATCGTATTTTAAAAAATTAGGGTTTTCAAATTTGGTTAAGTAAACATTTTGTAGGCCGTTAAAAATTTGCATCAACTACACCTTGACGATATAAATTTCAGCCAATCATATTTCTTGAAATTTGAAAATCTGCATCAACCAATTTTGAATACCCCTAATAAAATCGGCATATCAGATTTTGTTTAAAAGAAAGCGACGGCGAAATAAAAAGTTTAACCCATCAAAAACATTAGTTGGAGAAAAAATTTCAGCACAATGTATTGCTTGGGAAGCATTTATACATAACGATAATACAATAAAGCTTTAATCTACCAATAAAATTACACTTTATAAGTCACATGATAAACTTTTTATATATAAATTTTTTTTGTTAAAATTGACCCGGCCGGATGACGTGAACCGAAAATTCGAAGTTGCACGGCCTTATGATTTTTAAAATTTTTGTTGTAAATTAATGCTAAACAATTTATCGTATAATATAAATTATATTTTTTACTTTTTAAATTCTAATTATTAATCATAAAAAGCTGATAAATATTCAGTTACTAGATATTATAATACATAAATGTCTGCTTGTAAAAATCTGTTTTAACCAATTTTCGGGCTTTGAATGTAGTTTTCTAATTTCGTATAGGTTTACAACTTGACTTTTTTAAACATCAGTTTAACTAATTTTCTGCATTTCGGGCAGCATCATTAGACTGTAGAAAATGGATTCATGCCAATATTATTATGGACTATAATGGTCCAAGTCATATTGTGTAAAAATTAATGCATTAATTTTATAATAAGTAACTTTATTAGGGATGGTAACGGTCGGTCGTCAACGGTCGGTCAAAGGCCTTTGACCGACCGACCGGTTAACTGACCGATTTTAACTGACCAGTTGACCGACCGGTTAATAGTAATATAATTGAGCAGTTTTGGCTTAATAGAAAGTTTTAGTTTAGCCAAATATTATAATTTTGATTCTTGCTTTAAATATTAACATGGCATTTTTTAAAACTACTTCGTGATTTTTATTTAGTGGCGCAGCATTATAACGGACTTTAATTATTTTTTCAAAATTTCAAAATTTAAATTTATAGATAATTGAAATAAAATGTTGATTTTGTTAATTTTAATACAAATAGTTGTTACTATTTAAAACATGGTCAGTCCCAAGTCACTCGGTCAACCGGTCGGTCAGAAGTCTTTGACCGACCGATATCGGTCACGGTTATGACCGGTCATGACCGTGACCATTAGCATCCTTAAACTTTATACTTAGTTAATAATATTTTGATATTTAAAGACTAAAATTTTTTCTGTTTGATAAAATTATAAATCGAAAATATTGTGCCGCAGCAAATATTTTTAATTCACTTGACTTTCTAAAACATTTATTCTGCAATGAAGATAAATTTTAAATTATTAAAGAATAGACAATTAAATTTTAGTGCAATGAAGCAAAACTTTTCTCATCTTTTTCTCAAAAATTTTTGACTATAATGAAAATAAAATGAGAACATTGTATCTCATTTAGGATCCAAATTGGCGGTCGGTAAATGAAGTGCAAACTTTAAAGTGATTATGACGCTAGTATATAAGTTCCTAAAAATATTTAAAGTTAATTTTTATTGTAGTAATGAACGACGAAATTAAAAGATTCGACAGCAAGCAAATCACCGATACTTTACAGAAACTTTGTTTCCTTACTATGCAGTAACTGCATAGTACCTATTAGGTCACGATTAAGCTACTACTAAGTAAGATAGTAACTGTATATTCACTACATAATCACTTTGCAGTTAATGCGTATTAAGAAAACCAAGATTCTGTAAAGTAAGTTATATTATAATATCAACCGACCACACATAAATTCACAGATTATTTCATTATCACCGTCAAGTTTTCTTGTTTTACCTTCAATTAACAAGCAAACAAATTAATTTAATCAACTCCTGTGGAATGGCAATTTCAAATCACAGCTCGGAACTGTTTTTGATTACTAAATTTTATTTCTAATATTATGGCTCAAAGAACCCTTTGGCATAAATTACAGCAATTAACCAATTCAAGTCAATCTTCCTCTACATTAATTAGATTTAATGAGCTACATAATTTCAAAAGCAAACGTATTATGGAAGGATATTATTTATTTATAAAAATTTCGGAATTTGAATTTGCAAAACGGGGCTCAAATTACAGTTATTAAATTCATCGAAAAGATATTTGCTTATGTTTAATAGCAAATTATTAATACGTTTTGTAAATATTGATTTCAAAAATTAATAATAAACAACCTTTAAAAATATAAATACTGTTTGATAATAAATTTATTGTTTTCTTGATTTACTATTAATGATAAATTAAATCTATTTATATATTTATCATTAAATTCGAAGAACACAATAACAAAAAAATGAAATTTCGTAGTAAAATTTATTTTACGAAAAGGTTATTTGAAAATTATTCAATGTAAAAGAAAGTTAAAATTTAGATCTCAAATTTTCCATTGATTGCATTAAATAATTTATTAATCTTACTATTGAGCTCATCATTCCTGCTATTATTATCATTAATCTTATTATTAAGATCATTAATCTTTTTATTCAGTTCATTAATGTTAATATCTTCTTCCTTAACAACTTTATTATCACGCTCAGTAATAATAATTTCTTTTTCTTTTTCTTTCTTAACCTCATTATTAAACTCTTTAACACTAGTCGTTTCATTCTGTTTTTCACTTTCAGAACTATCATCATCATCCTCATATGTTAAATTTCTTTCAACCATTTCCTTTCATAATCCTCATATAAGTTTCTTTTCTTATATTTTTTTAACATTCGCAACCCATTCATTATAACTTATTGATTTATCTATATAATAAATATATTTTGGTTCTGGTGATGGAGGAGAAAAATATATTTCATCTAATGCCTCATAATCTAAAATTAATGCTGCACAAAATCGTAAAAATGTAACATGACCTTTCTCATATGCTTTAGTAAACACCCCACTATATAATTATTTAATTATTTTAATGAATACCGTTAATTAATTAGGTTCAAAAAAAATTTGAGTGGAAAATAAAATGAACATACCCCATAAAAGCAATAAACATATTTTGTAGAATGGTTACCAAAAGAATGCTACCAATAAAAGTGATAACTTTTACTGGCCAAAAATTCCATGCGTCCTGTTGTAAAAAATTACCACTTAACCAATTATATGTTGAAAGAAATGAGGTAATGAAATATTTAGCTGGGTTATCTTCAGTTCGATCAAAATCTTGTTGAATTTTGAGCTCGGTTGAATCACCCGTAAATAATGTAGATGATGATGTATTTTCTGTAAGCTTTGTAAAATCAGGATATTGTAATAATAGTAAAAGACTATGTGCAAATCCAACCATTATGAGCATCATAAAATAGGTATCACGGAATAGAAATTAATTGCATAGGTAAGAAAGTTCAAAACAATACCATGAATATTATAATCAAAGCAAAGCCACCTATGCAGGGCAAACGTCGAATAAATATAAAAAAAAAATTATGACTTCTTAACATTAAATGTGGCATTTTAACCATAAAAAAACTTCAAATATGCTATCTCACAAGAAGACACGGAATTTATGGTCTATTAAAAGCTTCAAAAAAAAAAAATTTCTTTTGATCAATTTGGCGAAATCATGATAGCATTATTCCGAATATTCAAATCTCGCCCGCTATTATTGTTCTTATCTGTCACAAATTAGAATAATTTTTGGTTATTTAGAGTAAGGATTAGGCCAATTTAGGTCGGTTTTGGAAATTAAATTCGCCCGATCAATTTATCTAAATTATCTTGTAAACGACTAATAACTATTAATTACAAAGCAATATTCTCTACAATAAAAAATTGTTTCTCTTCCTCACTTTAAAAATAATTTACTTTGAATTAAACCGGAATATTGCCTTTTCACAAAATAAACGAAATTCGTTGATATCTTTTTTTAAGTTAAAATATTCGGAAATTTTTTCGATTTCCACATTAGGAAGATTTTTCAGCCAAAAATGATGATCAAAAATCACCGAAAAAAAAATGTTTGATAATTTTTTAATCGACAATAAACTTTCCTTTCTTTCTTAAAATTTACAAATTTACAAAACTTAACGGATTTTTTCGTAAAATAAATAATGTCTGCAAAATTTTTTCCCAAATTAAGTCAAAATTTTATCGAAATATTAGATGACGATGAATATTATGATATTACAATTGAAGCTGGAAAAGATCCAAATGTTAGAATATTCCGTGCGCACATGATTAATTTGAGTTACCGTTCACCATATTTCAGACGAAATTTGGCGAATAAGAAGAATAATAATGACGGTACCCTAACAAGTATCAAATTACCAAATATTTCACCAGAAGACTTTCAAATAATTTTGAAGTAAGTTTAAGAATCAAGCAAGCGCATTACTTTCTTTTAAAAAATTGATAATATAAGAATTTTTCTTATAAATAGGTATATTTATGGTGGAATTATGTCATTAGATGAAAAAGACTTTTTAAACGCTTTAAAAGTAATGCGTGCTGCTGATGAGCTTCATCTTCAAGAATTGGTTGAATATTTGCAAAAATATCTAATTGAAAATAAAGATGGATTGATGGAACAACATTTTGAGCTTACTTATAGAATAAGCTTTCTATCCAACTCTTTTTTAGAGCTTCAACAATTATGTATAGATATTATGGTTAAAGCACCGGTAAAGGTATTCAATTCACTTGACTTTACTTCTCTTCCTGAAAAATTTTTAATCTCACTTATTAAGAGGGATGACTTACAAATGAAAGAGGTTGAAGTATGGGAGCATGTATTAAAATGGGGTCTTGAAAAACATCCCACACTTATTCCGGATCCCTTGACTTGGTCAAATGATGATTTCAAAATGGTGGAAAACACTTTACAACACTGTTTGCCCTTTATTAGATTTTTTAGTTTATCTTCTGATGAATTCACCAAAAAAGTTCGTCCATATAAAAAGCTTTTGAAACATCAACTCTTCGAAGATTTATTAGATTCTTATTTGGACTCAGATAGTGAACCAAGTGACAGTATTTTACTCCCTAGATGTAGAGGAGTCGTTATTGATACCGCAATTGTTAATTTAAATATTGTTTCCATCATTTCAAAATGGATCGATAAGTTTGAAATTAAAAGCAATTTTGCTTTTGTGAGAGATTTGTATTTACCATATGAATTTAAATTATTGTTAAGAGGAAGTCGAGATGGGTTTACTCCTAAAATATTTCATCAATTATGTGATGATAAGCCTCGCACAGTCACTTTCATCAAAGTCAAAGAATCCGAAGAAATTCTTGGAGGATATAATCCTTTAGTATGGAAATCCAATGGTGGGTATGGTAAAACGAAAGATAGTTTTATATTTTCTTTCAAGAACAAGGACAGTTTTAAAGATTCAATTTTAAGCCATGTGAATGATATAGACCGTGCATTATATTATTCAAGTATTTATGGTCCCTCATTCTGTGATGATCTTAGTTTATGATATATTAATTATTTTGGTAGTGGTGTATTTGAATATAATAACAATACCAGCAGGCAAAGAATGTATGAAAAAAGAATAAGAGATGAAGAAATATTTTCAATAGAAGATTATGAAGTATTTCAAATTTCGAAAATTAAGAATTAAAATTTTTTTTTTTTCTAAATTAGAATCATTTCAATTTAAAATTAGAATAATAATAAATAAAGGTTCTCTTCTCTCTCTCTCTCTCTCTGTAAATATGAAAATGTTACATGCACAAATGTTACCGTTCTTCATTTTTTGCGACGACGACGACCTTAGGGGTTTTAGTCTAAGATTTTATAATATAGCTAACTCTGCTGATGAATTAAAAATTTACAAAATTAGCTGCTGGCTGTCATTAAATTTATTAAAATCTTCTTGTAGAAATTGAATATATATATTAAGAAGATTTCAAGTTTTCAGTATATACATTAATAGTATTACCATGCTCTTAAAATGCATGTAAAAGCAAGATGTGAAATATAGTTTTTCGTTATTGTTTTCCTTTAACTATTGATTATGTATCGTCCATGATACTTATGTAAAAAAAGTCAAATCAAGTGGAATTAATTTTTATGATGATCAATGATAAAATTAGTTGGATGTTCCAAGATAATGCCTTTGTAAAAAAAAGAATTGAATGGGAGTTGATAATTTATGATAGTAAAGACTTATATGTTTGTGATGAAGATCGCTTCGATTTATTTATATAAAGAATCAAACTATTGTTTTATGATCGATTATTGTTTTACTGTATCTACTAATAAGAATAAGTGGTTTGGATGTAACAAATCTCATCATTTGATGATACAAACTTACAAATAATCATTTTTACTTTTACTTTTTATTTCAATAGAATCACGATATTGAGAAATCAATTGGTAAGACATGACCATAACCTGACGGGTATTACAAAATTGGGACACGTGTGAAAAAATGACAAACCCGACTCGAATTCAATGTCGAGTGGGATTTATGACCCTGTGAAGTTTTACAAGGGTTTCAAAGGTATAATTACATAAAATTTATGTATTATTTACGATTTACGATTTACATTTTGTTATTATTATGAACTTTTTAAATTTTAGATACTTAAATCTATTAGATAACAAGCGAGAGCATTTCGCACTATAAATTGCAACCTTTTCACAAGACCTTTTTGAACTGTTTAACAAATTCTTTGCCTACCACCCAAAAAAAACAATATTAGGCTTTAAAAAGTCTAATTGTCGTCAAATTATCCTTAATCTATATTCAAATCCTTTAAATGTGCCTTTTTGAGTTACGAAAATCCAAATATACGTTAGTCTACTTTTCATACCATTCATAAGCAATAGTCAATAATGAACTTGCTAATTTATTATTATTTGAGAAAACATGTTTAAATAGACTTGACGCGGTTAAATTGTAATTAATAATTTCATACATAACTTTTTCAAATGTTATCATTATCATTATTGTTTTAGAATAATGTCTTTAAATCTATAAAAAAATAATTAATAAAAGGGTAATGTATATTAAATTAATATATATAGTGGCTTTAAAATTCTAAGTGCTCAAAATAAAGCTTTAGTATAGCAAAAGTTCATTGAGATTAATCATCTTTTATAAAAAATTGCACAAAAAAGTTTAATAGATGAAGTAAATTTAATTCTAATTTTTATTTTTATAATAAAAGAATAAGTCTTTGATATGAATCTTTTACAACTAGATTCTTTTTTTTTTGGGATATTTGGTTGCATTGAAATTGACCTTACTGAGTCATTACTTCTGTTTTAAAATCCAACATTTTTTTTAAAAATATCCTTTTTATTTTCATAACTATCTGATCTTTTTTATTTAAAATTATTAATCTAAATGATATTATTAATTAAATATTCAAAATCATTATCATATTGAAACTTCGATACGACCCAAAAAAGCATCTTTGAAGAATAATCATCCAAATGTCAATTAATTACATAAGCAAATAATTTTCTACGAATTCGATATAACGATCACTCAATAAATTCTCATTTAAACGATTTTTTTAAAAATTTTTTGTTCAATATTATCATATAAATTTCGTTTTAATTCTGATGAAACGTTGAAAGTATAAAATAGTAGCTTTATTAATCTGTAGAGTTATAAGTTTAGTCCCAAGACTTATCTCAATCTCTGAGCAAAACTCTGACTCAAGGTCAACTTACAGGTCTATTTATATAAAATTGCTAACTAGTACTATACTACGCTTTTTAATAAGTATAAACAATACATATAATGAAATATAAATAATAAAAAGAAGTCTATATAATATATGGATCCGGTTCATTTCACCGACAAACATTTTACCGACAATCATTTTACTGACACACATTTTACCGACAGGATCATTTTACCGACAAATGTTTCACCGATGATCATTTCCCTGACACAATCATTTTACCGACATGTTTATTTTACCGACAAATATTTTACCGACATGATCATTTCGTCGACAGTTGATTTTTTTTTTATAAAATTTTAAATTATAAATTAATCATTAATA